AGATAGATAGATAGATAGATAGATAGATAGATAGATAGATAGATAGACAGACAGATAGATATAGATATAGATATTTTAATAGGGTTTAATAAGTCATCTACTATCTCTAAACCCAGCAAACATGTTTTAGTTTAAAAAAAAAAAAAAGAAGGAAAAATACTTTCCAAATCTCCCTCAACCTCTCTGCACAGACTACACAACAAATGAGAGGCCTCTTCTCTAGATACAACTCTAAGTATAGAGCAGAGAGTTTGGGGAGATAAGAATATCATCGAGAGCTTCCCTCCTAACTACAAACTCCATAGGTCACAGGTAAATTAACCTCCTTACTACTTTCTCAGGGAAGGCCTTCTAGAACCTCTCCACGCCCCTCCACATCTGCCCCCAGTCTCCCTAGCAGTACTTTGTATCATTTCTCCCATAGCAACTGGCATATCTTAATCACGTACTTGAAATAAGTTGGTTAATAAGTTGCCTACTTGATCTAAAGCTTCATAACAGGAAGAGTCACCTGTTTTACTTACCGCAAACAGTGCACCCAGAACAAAAAGCACATGTTTGTCTTAAACTGATGGTCTTGATTAATCTTTACCCCTTCCCAGTGAGTGAGATAGGCAAGTTTAATAAAAATTGTTTCTTCTACCCAGGTACCCACAAAGCTAGACATCAGACTCCATGTCTTCTATTTCCAGGTCAGAACTCAGTCTGACATGCCCTGTTGGTTTTGCTATTGCACGTTCATTTAAATGACATCTACACCTAGCAGTCACTTGGTGTCACTCTATCCCCATAGTAATTTAGCTGAAGACACTGAGTAGTGACCAGAAGCCCACATTGCGAGCCAGCACACACATTCTCCTTTGATTGGAAGTTGCAGCAGCTCTTTGACAATATAAAATAAAGTCTGTGTGTGCTAAATCCAAATGTACACATGACAGTTAGTGCTGGAACAAAAGCTATTTCTCTTCTCTGCCTCAAAGTCAGGCCATGGTCCCCTTCTGCCAAGATGTGCCTTAGAATAGCAGGCTATTGTTTTACTGCCCCATTCAGCCTCTACAATTCTTTTGACCAGATTTAGATACTGCCAGTCATTAGAAAGCACTGTGTTCACCAGTGGAGCATCTTGGGAACTGCTTTAAGCATCAAAATATTTTCTAAAATAGTTATTGTATGGCCTTGCCAAGACATATGCTACCTTCTCATAGAGGACTTCCTGTGTCTAGCCTGAAAATTGATTATTAAGGATGCTTATAATCCATCCTCTTGCTCAAATTAGTTTCATCACCTTTCTCTATAACCCATTTGTCTCGTTTCATCCTTTGTAGGGTACCAGTCAGAAGATGGATAAAACACAACTTTTGATCTAAGAGATCATGGTCTACAAAGAACCCACATCTACAACTAATTAGCAATGTCCTCTCAAAGAGAAACCAGAAGAACAGGGTGTCTACAAATGGTAGTCTGTCCTCTGTCGATGCATCCTTGGCACTGCAGCCATGGATTCCCTTACAGCACAGGACCACACTGCTCACTGTCCTCTCACTGCACTGCTCTTGCCGCACTGTCACAGCAGTACCTTGTCATTAGTTTGCCAGGCTGTCCTCTTTAAGTGGACAGAGTTCTCTGAGGCCCCAGGTTGTCTGTCTGAATTCATACCTCTGTTTTCTTCCTAACACAGTGGGTAGTGGGCACAGCTGAATGACGGTTAATGAGATGGACGGAGGGCTGTGGAATCACAGAGGAGGACTTGACTAGCTATCCTTAGATGAGTGCCGTTTGAAAGATCTTAAACAGAGTGTTACCAGAGCGAGGCATCAGTGAGTTCCAAGGGCAGTAACGCATCAACCGTAACACAAGACGGATAGACAAATCATCAAAAAAATAAGCATTTGAGCTGGGTCGGGGTGGTGCACATCTTTAATACCTGCACCGGGGAGGCAGAGGCAGACAGATCTCTGTGAGTTCAAGACCAGCTTGGTCAACAGAGCTAGTTCTAAGACAACAAAGGGCTACACAAATCCTGTCTCAAAAGACAACAAAATCCTCTTCTATTATAATCAGTCTAAGGTTAAAAAAAAGTAGGCTGTGTTTAGAGAGATGGCTCAACAGTTAAGCCTTCCAGGAACAACACTGACTCACAACCATCTATAGTGGGATCTGATGCTCTCTTCTGGCATGCGGGTTTACATGTAGATAGAGCACTCATGCATAATATAAACAAATAAATAAATAAATAGGAACCAAAAAAAACTCCTCTAACTTTAAAACCAGGCGGACCTTACATTTTTATTTGTTACTCATTAGTCTGTGCTAGACTGAAAAGCCAATGGGTAGGGCTGAAGACCATCATGCTGCATCCTTTTTCCTTATGCACAGGGTTTTTTTTTTTCTATTTTTATAACTCACTCAACATGTTGGGTTAGAAATAACCACAGGCAGCTTGATCTGGACTAGCCTACTCATTTCTTATGAGAGGTTAGAAGTCTAAAGAGGTGTTAATGGCAGCAATTGAACTGTGAATATAAAGATGAGTAAGAAGAAAGCCCTGCTCTTGGAGAGCCTGTGGCCTTGTGGTGGAGTCCAATGCCAAAAAAGATGGAATTTTAGTCATGTAATAAGCACTTAAAAATGAGGTCAGGGCTAACAAAATGCCTCAATGGGGAAGGGTCAAGCCCCACACTCCACATGGTAGAGAGAGAGAACTCTTACAACTTGTTCTTTGACCTACACATGTAATACCATGCTCATGTACAAACACATATATATGCATAAAGACACAAATTAATAAGGATAAATATTTTAAAAAGTGAAAACATTGTTTTTGAAAATAAAGTAACTGGAATGCCTAAGCTTGAGAGTCATAAATGGAAAAGAGCCTGCTGTGTAACCCTGGGACCATTCCTTATTTTCCCTTGGTTTTGGCGCAAGCCAAGTACATGGTAGGCACCAACATTTCAGGTCAAACTACGAGCTCACAAGTACATATGCAAATGGCAATTCATATCTAGGAGGGAAACTCATGAAAAAGTGGTTATCCTTTCCTGATTCCTTAGGTTGGCAACTACATCCTCTAGAATAAAAGAAAACTACAAAAGGTTCTTCCTGTCAGTATCTCTTCAGCCTGCTCTGATCATAGGCAGCTTGACCTGAACTAGCCTACTCATTTCTTATGAGATGTTAGAAGTCTAAAGAGGTGTTAAGGGCAGCAATTGAGCTGTGAATCCTGTCTTCTGTCTCCAGTCCCCTGTCTCCAGACCCTACCTCTTCCTCTTCATTTCATGTAGGTTTTCTGACTTTCTGGTTGGCATTTATGTAGATTTTAGAACCTGTTTTTATCTTCCAGTATCCCAGCATTTTCTTCACCATTATACTTAGTATAGACATCTCTATGGTAAGAAGCCATTTTAAAGACTCAAGACAAAAAGAAAAAAAGAAGGTTCCTGTCTCTTATCTGGCCATGAGAGGAGCTATATGTCAGTGCTTGTTTGTGATGCTATCTATGAACTGCTGAAAGAATGCCAGGAAGCATTTCTACCCTTCCCAAGGCACACGTAAGATGTTAAAAATCAAGTGAGAGAAGGATGCAAACATCACAAACCGAATGTGGGATGCTTAGGTCTAGACTTAGCTACCATTCTAGTACCAGTATCCATCATGATGCTCCTGACTGGGAATCTTTCCATGGGACTTGACTCTGAAGCTCTGAACCAGAAGTTTCAGTAAGTGAATGGCAGTACTAAACATCAGTATCCTTACATCCTTCCATGCAGTTTAGTTTCACTTTGCATTTTTAAAATTGTGCGTGTGTGTGTATGTATATATGTATACGTACGAGTAGATAGATATGCAGGTAAGTGTAGGTGTCTGTGAGTATAGGCCAGAAGAAATTGTCAGACAGTCGAAGTATCCCTACATGGGTGCTGGAAACCAAACTCAGGTCATATATAAGAGCAGTATGCACTCAGCCTCTAAGCCTTCTCTCTAGCTCTTCACTTCATACCTCTTCCAATCATCATCTTCCTCATTTTTTGATGCAAGGTATTGAGCCTATTGTGATTTCATTATCCTCTTATCCCACAGAAGACTTCATGGAGTTAGAAGACTAGAGGTCAGCAAGTGAGGTGCACCTCTCCCTTCCAGACAACAATCATGGTTAAAGAAGTTAATTAAGTAACCTCTGAAGCTTGTAAAATAAGGACAATACCATCTACTTCCCAGAGATCGTACTAATGCTAAGAAGTGTAAAAGCATCTATCAGAGGCTCTGACTTACAACAATACATACTCAAGGAACACGCTACCTCCTGTTTCTGTACATACTATATTTCTAAGTACCAAGGCACCGAGTGGAAGACAGAGTAGTGATCAAGGGTCTTTTCTTAGACATTTAGAGTTCTAAGATAAAAGTATAGTGGGAGACAGGATAATATTAATAATCAAGTCATGTGACTGAATTACCTATACTACCTTCAGCAAAATGGGGGATCAGAAGGCTTTCTCAAATGGGCCTTTTATTTAGAATAGAAATGTTATTGGCCCAACTTTGAAATTCAAAAAGAAATTCCTAGTTTGTTTTCACATCACTTCTGGTATGACAGGAAAACATATTTTGCTCACCATCTTCATATATAAGCACACAATCCCTAAATTGATTCTGTATAATTTCTTTTCTTTTGAGAAAGGTTCTCAGGTAAGCTGGGCTGACCTCCAACATGCTATGTTAAGGGTGACCTTGAACTTCCTGTTAATCCATCTGACCACAGTCTAGATCATAGGTAAGCAGTACTGCACCTATTTCATGTGGTGCTGACGGTTTAATCCAGAGCTTTTTGTATCCTAGGAAATATTTTGTCAGCTGAGCTCTATACCCCAGTACATCATCGTCAATGTGGTTTGAATGAAGCAATTTAATAAATGTTTTGAAAACATACCTGTACTTTTACCCCTAAATTCTCAGAGAATTATCAAAGCTTTACTATTATTTATTATTTAGCCTCTTACCTTTACTTTTTCACCATTAATCTCCACTGTCTTAATCATAAAATCAACTCCAATTGTGGCTCCTTGACCTGGGGGGAAAAGACCCTAAGGAAGAAATAATGGCAAGTGACATTTAAGCACATCTTCCAATTACGTAGATGTTCCTCACTCCCCGCCCAGCCTTTGACTGAGGTAATTGTTAGGACAAGGACTCACTCTATTTCATGTCACGTTTGAAGGGGAACAGAGAGCAGGGAGAGAACTGGAGAGAAATGCTGACCGAAGCAAACACAAAAAGGAAGGACCAAACACGAGGCTGACTGTGAAGGAGAGAGTCTGGAAGGGCAGTGCCCAATGCTGGTTTTAAAACAGAAAACTCAGACAAAAGGATAAGACTGAGGAGGAGTGAGTCACTAGAATGACATCAGGATTGTCTGGATGGGCAAAGAAAAGGTAAGATTGGTTAAAAACAAACAGGAAAATGAGATGTGAGGGACCTCTGCTACAGAATGAGAAAAAGAGACAGACACAAAACTTCTGGGTTTTCCTGGGCCCTCAGGATGGTCACCAGCCTGAGGTACGCTGTAACACACAC